TGATCGAACGAAGTACTGAAGTCAAAAATCGAAGCATTTTTACTGCCCCAAAACGTGATGACAGACACAAAAAAAATAAAATAAAAAAACACATCATGGTAAAATCAATACATTCATCGCTCCGCTCAGAATCTAATATAATTTATCAGGGAACAATAAGTAAGAGGATGTCAACGCATTATTTGTTTTCTCTCTCTGACCCACGCGTAACATAGACAAAACGCATTTACGAAGAATAATTTTTTCTATGTCTTTAAGTAATTTTAGAGTAAAACCTTTATATTTATATTTTTGGATTTTATATTTTATTGATATTTGACTTTCAAAATAAACAAAAAAACACTGTACATTTAAATAATGTTTAAGTTATTAAGAGACAATATTTAGACAAATCGATATGTCATTCCCTCAAAAATATTATTTTCTATCTTTTTTGTAATGGGAGGTTTTACTCTAAAATTACTTCAAGATATAGAAAAAATTATTCTGCGTATATGCGTTTTGTCTATGTTACAAGTGAGCCAGAAAGAGAAAACAAATAGTGCGCTGACATCCTCTTAAGTAAAACATACTGGCTTTAAATAAATGACCAACAAAACTGTTAGGTTCAAGGTTGGGCAGTTTTTTTGGTTGTAGGGTAAGTTCAGAATTGTTTTTGTTCCTAACACAATGAAGGAGAAAAAGTTTACAAGGGTAAACAGACAGTTGATATCTGCATAAAAATGATTTATGCGGACAATTGGTCCCCGTCATAACTTTATACATGGACAATTATTGGTCCTTGGTGAATATTTTTTGAATAGACATACGAATAGGTATAATAGTCAATATATATCACAATAAGGTACGAATTATGATGTATTATATAAACTTATAAAGTTTAATACTATAGTTTTGACACAGACTTTTGAATTATTTGTATTCCTTAAGTCTAGCTGTCAAACATCGATGAACACTATCGAGGCTTTATTCTCGCGAGATATATTGATATTATTATTTAATAGAAAATATTAAATAAGTTTTAAAAAAACGTTATTTTGTATTTATTTGTTGAACAATTTTAATTATTTTTACTTTTTATGCAAAAAACAATATTTTATATTAAATTTTTAAGCCGGGGACCAATTTGTCTGGGTAAAAAATTATAATGAAGGCTAATTGTCCACATKCTACGGTTTTTTGCGGGGATCGATTGTCAAAGATCAATCTACAAACAGTTGCAGTCATCAGTCATGAATCATTAGGTATATAGGTAACTGGTATATTTTATTTTGCAAGTATTTTGAATAAACATAGGTATGAGCTGAAAATATAATTATGTATTCATACCTTAGTCAAAATTAWTRRWWAWWRTTAACAGTATTTACCTAATTAAAATTGTTTAATTATAAAGGCAAAGATAGACATAAGAATGACATGTAACTAGGTTTAAAACTACATTAATCTCTATTACTTATTTTATTTCAAAAAAAAATATTATTAAAATGGAATAACATACCAAAAAGTGGTCACTTGAAAAATCCATATTGTCTTCATCTGGTTCATCGGGAGTTTGTTGCTCTTCAACTTTTTCAATAAAACCCAAATGACAAGTTGGGCATGTAAAATCCTTAAAAAAACATTGAAGCATTACCAGGTATTAATCAATAACTTTGTAGTGAACACATGTAATGGAAAAATTTCAAAACATACATCAGCCACGGCCCCTATTTCCGCATCACAACTGTGGCAAAAATAGCGGTTATCTGCAATACTGTCAATAGGTCTTGAAGCACTATCCATTATAAGTTAGGTATGTATGTGGAATGTGGTCCTACAATAAATAGCAGTTGCCCGTTTTTGGTAATCTAACGAGTAGCTTTCTTGAGAGTACGACAAAATTGACTTTGATCACCAAATAACGTATCAGTCACGCTATAATTGAAATATATTTAAAAGGAATTACTTTTAATAATACGCTATTATGAGAGTTTAGTCAAAAGTATTATACTATAATACTATATTAAATCCTGAAAACTACAATTCGTAGTTTTCTAGTTTGTAGTTTGTACTGATAAGAAGTTAACTTTTTTTAAGCACTCGCAGTCTCGCGTCATCATAAAATCGATTGTTTCCCAAACATATACATAAGCACATTGTATATATACATATGCAAATGAATATAAATGATAAATTTATTCTGTGATATAACATATATTAGTATATTACTATACTACTTATATTGTCAATACTTATTGTGGGGTAAGTAATTAAACTTAAATATTTGTAATAGGCATTGGGCAATTATTACATTTCCTAGATGTAAATTAATTATTCAATAATAATTAATGATAAATGAAACAAGACTACAAGACGTACAAATGATTAAAAATAGTTGCGAGTTTTAAAATAATTTTTAAATAACCAATCAAGTTACTTACCGAATGTTGGGAAAAACATCGATGTTTGTCTCTGATCGCAGTACAAATTACGGCAATTACAGCGACGCCCGGCGACGGTGTTATGATAAATAAAATAGGTATGCCAGCAATATACCGATTTTGAAAAAAATCGCGCATCATCCCTTCACCCAGCCATTTTATCGTGACGAAGTCATTTTGTCGTTTTTCATTGGTCCGCCGTCGCCACAGCTGCTAACGCCGATTACTCCACCACTTGCCAATTGGTCGGTTGATAAAATGCTACGTCACAGAGGTGCGTATTCACGAGTCACTGACATACCTGTTCAATTTATCACAAATGGTGGACATTGGTGCGGCCACAAAACATGTGGCCGATGGCCGTAATTAAATGGCTTCGTTTAATAGGTTATGTAAGATGTTCAAAATTTAAACATGATGTTCTCTAATGATTGGCTACACTGACCAGCTGGTCATACTGATACATTAGAACGGAAATTCAAAAAATTACGTATTCCAATTATTTCTAAATTCTAGCAGGTAGGTACTAGGTAGTAGGTAGGCATATAMTAATTAAAGGTTTTGAATTGTCTTAAATTCATAATAATTAATAATACCATCCAATCGTATTAATTAGTCAATGATCATTACTCATTAGTCATAATTTCTTCATTTAACCATAGCGTCTACTTTTAATTCTTATATGATTGTGACTATTCATCGTTTGCATTCCGTCTGATATAGAACACATAATGTTTGCATTAATAACTTCCGGCGTGTTAGCTTTGTCATTCGTTTTAGCTGCAGTTTTAAAATATAAATTTATAGCCAAGAAAAAATCTCTACTTGGTCGTCATGTTCTAGTAACATAAATTAGTTTTATATTTCTACTGGATCATTATATTTTCATTTTTTTTTTCAGGTTACTGGAGGTTCAAGTGGTATTGGTAAATGCATCGCATTAGAGGCTGCCAAAATAGGAGCAAATGTAACTATTGTTGCAAGAAATGAAAGTAGACTTCTTTCAGCATTGGAAGAGATTAAAGGACAATGTTTAAATAATGATCAAAAATTCAAATATTTGTCTGGTACGTTATGTATTAAATACTTTGATTACTACCTACTATAACCACTTATAACTATTCAAATAGGATATTTATTTTATTTTATTAGATAATGAATAAACTAGTACATTATAGTTACCTATATTAACAATTCATAACAAAATGAAAATTCCTAAATATTGTTTGTTTAGTTGATTTAGCGGGTGATTACAGCATGGTGAAAACAACTTTAAACATTGCTATTAATGAGATGGGACCATTGTATTTGTTTATAAATTGTGCTGGTATGGCTATTTGCGGGACATTAGAAGAAGTTTCCACCAACGACATTATGGTAGTTTTAATTTTTAATATATAACCTATATTTTATAAGTAATTAGTACCAATTGTAACAGAAAATGATCAATACTAATTTAATTTCTACAATCCAAGCTACTAAAGCAATAGTTGATGAAATGAAACAAAATGGTTTTGGAAGTATTGTTATAACTTCATCACTGGCATCATTCTGTGGTATTTATGGCTTAAGTGTATACTCTGCCACAAAATTTGCATTAAGAGGGTTTGCTGAAGCTTTAAGCATGGAAGTAAATAAAAATAACATCTGAGGATACTTGAAATAATATTTACCATGTTATGTATTTTACTATATATATATTATGTAAACTTGTAGACAAAGAGCTTTGGAGTAAAAGTGACATTGGCCTTGCCTCCAGATACAGATACTCCGGGATACGCTAATGAGTCAAAAGACAAACCGATAGAAACATTATTGATTTCTGCAACAGCTAAATTGTTTACACCAGAAGAAGTAGGAAGAAAAATTCTTCAAGACACATTAGTAATTTGAAAACTAATTTATTTTAGTAATTTATGATACTTAAATAATTTTCTTATTTTATTAATCTAAATTTTTTTTTTAGAATGGATGTTTCTTTAGCACTGTAGGTCTTGAAGGTCACATGATGACTATTTCTTGTGCTGGAATGGCTCCATACACTTCTTATTTAGAATTAATATGCCAGGTAATAAAGTTATGCTAATTATTAATTATTCATGTTATTAGTCACGGAATTAACTAATACATTATTATACTTTTCAGGTTTTTTGTGGTGGCATTTTAAGGTTGATAACTGTTTACTATCAATATTTATTTGATAAAATTATTGAAAAATGTAAATTAGAAAGAGAACACAAAAAAATATAATAAAACATAATATATATATAGATGTTTGAACAAAATTAAACATCTTTATCTTCTAACTATGCTTAAATTAAGGTATTGTTAATAAATATTTCTCATCAATAAATTTTTGAACAAAAGATTATTAATATTTATAATACCTTGTCTCTTTATTTGTTAAATGAGTGATACCATATGACTAAATAAAAACATATCCTAAGCTTATAAGTATATATTGTATAATAAAACAATTATTTTAAAATGTCATAAAAAAAAATATAAATATTTAAGTGTTACAACAATGCTGTTTAGTTTTATTAGTTAGTAACATAAACTATCACAAAAAGTAGCACCTTGATCTGTATTACTATTATCTTAAAAATAATTAATAGATAATGTTATTGAATACATGTTCTTAAGTGTAAAATAGAAAARTTAGTTATTAAAAAGCTATTTAATTTTGTATGTCTTAATAATCAGCTATACCCAATACATTTATAATAATAACAAAATTATGTAAATAGAGTTTATTAAAAATATAATTTAATTTATCAAGAGATTAAACTGATTAAAGCAAATAAAAGTATAATATAAAGATTCATTTAAGGCATATTAATTATATTTCTATAGATTAATTTTGATTTATTTTGTATGGATCAATTTTAGAAAGAATTGTATACTATAAATTAAACCATCATATTTCTTATCAATCAATGAATAGTTTTTTAATCCAACATTCTTGGATAGTATTATTTTTATTTTTTATATTGTTTAGTTAGAAGTAGGCACAATTATCAAATTATTAAAAACTAATCATGATTATCTATTCTCTACATAACATTAGAAGCAACAAGAGCAGACATCTTGTGTAATGYGCGCACAATATTGTTCAGTGTATTGGCTATTGATTGATTGAGTAAAGGAGCTGTTGTGTGTAAAAAGTTGCTTCTTATGCTGAATAGAGTAATATTACAAAATACACGGTCAAATTGAAATTTTGAAAAATAACTACTAAAGTTTAATATAATTAATAAGTAATACACTAACAAGAAGGCAAGACAAGTGGTTAAATACTATATAATGTAACATAAATAATATTTAAATAAATTTGTAAAAATATGGTGTAACTATGATTATTTAACAAGATCCTTAATAATCTGAAAGCAAGCTGAAACCTGATTATCCTAGATTAMAGAGAAGGGGCAGAAGGATAAGCTGGGTTAAATGCTGGTTGTTGTATATTCACATCTGAATAAGGTAATGGAGATTGGTTATACATTTGCATTTGAGGATACAATGATGGCTGACCAGAATTTTGTGTTGGGTCCATGATTTGTTGTGGATAAGAAGTAAGAGGAGGTTGGCCATATGGTGGAACTTGTTGTGCGAAACCAGGAATAGGAGCAGGCAAATTTATAGGATTGGTAGAATTTGTAGGGAACTGGGCATTTAAAGAATCATTTTGATTAGGTGGTTGAATTGGAATACCAAATTGTGGTGCATCTTGGGCAATACTTAATGGAATATTACCCATTGTAATTTTCACATTAACATTAGTGTTTTCATACATACCKCCAGCAACAGCTTCAACCTATAAACAAATATTTGAAAAATGTTACGAGTTGGMAAATAACAAATTAAAATTACTATTATAAATATTATTTATATTACATTTAATACATATTGGTCAGTTATAATTCCACAATACTTTAGATTAGAGAACATCAAACTATTCGGAACTATCATTTGTTCCGTCCATGTTTTTGAAGCATGAGCTTCAATACCTTGTAAACGTAAAACTGCAAGTTCAGATGAACTGGAATTTGTTTTTTCACTTGGGTGTCTTGCTTTAAATAATAGGTCCTACAAAAATTAAACATTTTTAAATAAAATCATAAAACTATACTACATTAAAGCATTACTCGTTTCAATTTAATTTTGACAGCTTCAATTGTTACATTAMTATTGTTATCTAGTTCAACAGTAAGAGGTATTATTTGTCCAGGTACAAAACCACTATAAGGAAGACAGACTACCAATGTTGTTGGACCAGACTCACAGCAACAGCAACAGTAAAATTTTTCTTTTTCTTCTTTTATGGGTTCCTAAATATGGACAAGTATCAAATATTTATAATTGTATAAAAATGATTATATTAAATAAAATGTATTAAAACTTCATACTAAATTAGTTGAGTAAATAGTTGAGTTGTAATGTTAAAAGTATTTTGAAAAGWAATGTGAACAATTTAACAACCTAGAGTGGATTTAATGTCGTAATAATATATATATTTTATATTTAATCTGCCCTAACCCAACTTAACCWACCAATAAATAATTAATTAAAAAAACCTGGTGTTAAAATAAATCAAAAGTAATGAAAAACATTTTAATTTGTATGAAATATGAACAATACAATTTTATTAACAGAAAAAGTATTAACCTACATCTTAAGGAAAAATTAAAATTTGCTTTCAAATYGAAAACCAAAAACAAAAATAATATACACTTTATTTTATACAGGGAACAGTGCCGTATCTAGGCAATGGCAAGGTGAGCGGTGGCCAAGGGCGCAGTTTAAAATRATCCCACTAGGGGTGCAATTTTTATATCATATAAATACTAAAAATTCATTATAAATTTATAACATTGGTTGCCAAGGGCGCATATAAAGCTAGTTACGGCACTGACAGGGAACAATAATATCATGAGTAATTCAGAAAAAWATGTCTTGGTTATATAAATATTATACTTACAGCTAATGATGGTTCGTCATTTAAATTTAAAGGAGAAATAACTTGAAAAGTTTTTTCTGTTTCTTTATCCTTGGCCCAAGGGATATCAATAGTAACTTTTGCTATGTAACGGATGTGTCCATGCTCGCCATTAAATGTTGATGGTAACTGATGAGGTAAAGAAATATTAAAAGGATAAACCTGTTCACCRGCTTCTAATTGTGATTCACCTTAAAAATAATAATAAAATATAAATAAAAAAAATGAAAATAATAATATATTCATGATTATGGCTGAGTAACACAAGTGTCATAACTCATAAACCATCAACAGACATAAGATACGTCAAAAAAACGCTTGGGTACCCCAATCTTAACTTTTACCCAAGTTCAGTAAGTGTTCAAATACTAAAATGAGTTTTAAAACAAAATTATTTTCATTTACCTCCGCCTCCAACCAAGGTCATTTTATTTTCAAAATATTCTTCTTCAGCATCATATTTGACAGAGTAGTTTTCAGTTTCGCCATTATCGCTTCTACGAGATTCTTGTTCAGTCCACGAAACTTTAGCTTCTCCTCGGAATTTCAATTTAATACCTATAACATTCAGTTGTGGTAATTTTCCAATTTAAACATGAAAAATATACCRAATACTTAATATTCTAATAAATCACTTACCTCTTATTTTTACAGAACTACTAGTAGCTACCAATACTCTCCCAGTAAGGGATTGGCCAGGCATAAATACAGCCGTAGGATTGTCAAAAATTATCTGTAAACTTGTCACACCCATTGTAATTTAAAACAAATAGTAGATATTGGGTGTATAAAGTGAACCGTGAGACTGATGTTAATTCAATTGACTGTGTTCTATATGAAAATAAAAGTAATAAAACAGCAAGTATATAATTAAAATCGACTGCCTGTGAACCTTAAATTATTATCAAATATTCAAATGACTAATTTTATGGTAGGTAGTATAATATTGTAGTGTGCATTTAAGTAGGAGGTATGCCACAGCGCAAGAGTAGTGGGTAACGGGTAAGTACAGTCAACGTCCTGCTGACAATATAATAGTCGCGGATAGGCGGATGCCGGATAGCAGTTAAAAATAACATCTTGCATMGTATCAATTATTGTCTTATCATACCGGTCATTAAATATCTTCTCAAATCATACGGCCATACGGGAACGGGAACAGGTCGCCTAATCACAGGATAAATATTCTGTGGTCCAATCTCCAATATGATAATACGATATACGAACCACGATTTCAAGGTTTTTAGTTATCCTTATCCATATACAGATAAATATATGTCTAATGTCCATGTAGTTATCACGGACTGAGATATTAATACATAACATATGTACTATATTTTATTGAATTCTTATTTAGGTGTTTTGTATGAAATATTAAAATTGTTTTAATCCTTACCTTACACTAAACCAAATTTAATGGAAAACATTTGTAATTTGTCACTTAAAGATATGGTATACTCACTATACTCTTACACTCATCCAAAGAAATAGTTTCCATTTCCTTTATAATTTATTAGTTAAATTGTTTGTCTCCCCTTCAAACTCTTTTTCCTTCACTATTATAAGTGACCACAAGTGCCTTAAAAATAATTTTAAATCCCTACTCTAAGAATGAACTAGAGCAGCGTATTACAATTGCTTTCATGTGGGTCCCTTTCCACGTCAGTATTTCTGACAACGAAACAGGAAACAGTATAAAAATTCGTAAATGAAGTTACATTTCATCAYAATGCTTTTAAACTGAACCTAACTACATCTTAAGTCACTAGACATCATTAATATTAAAATTCTAGATACATGACAGAAATGTWGGAGCAACTTTCCCCTCACAAATAAATTAARAACCATCGTCCATCACCCATAAATATACCCCAAAAAGAGAGACRAAGTCATCATAACCTGTACAAGAATAGATCCCACACACTTCATACAATCATACACTCCTTTTTCGTCACCAAAGAATCTGCTCCAGTATGCAACACATGCAAGGAAAATCTCTCAATCGACCACACCGTCATTAAATGTCCTAAGTACGCTAAACATACAATATTCAACATCCTACATCTCCATGACCATCCCCCGACTTGCTCTCGTCTAAGACAACATTGAAACAATTCAGACATTTTTTCTGTATTCATTTAAACCACAAATTGTAAATATCTTTAAATAAAATACTCMTTTTTATATTTGTTACAGTTGTAGGCTAATAATGATAAGATATTGAAGCTTTTGCCKATAATAAAAAAAAACTGACTAATGTTTATGGGCGTGTGATAACTGATAAGCGAATTGCTATAATATTAATAACTAGATACTTAGAAGGTCTTATGACGCAATAAACGCTCGTGGCTCGTCATGTTTGTCCATGGACCGTGAAAAATAATATTATTTAATAGCGTTTTACATCACACTACACTGACTGCACCAGTGCATATTTTTATGTTTCATCTGCACCGAGTGGACTTTTAAATGTTTCACCACAATGCACTACGCCAGTTTTTTGCACTCGATGCAATAATAAGTACTACAAAACTTATAAAATATTTTATTATTTTTACACATCAAACTGATAAGTATACATTTTACACAATTATAAGTTCTTTATAATCGTGAGATTTTATGTTTCATTTACACTATTATACTACTTGCACCGCCACCATCYACCAGCCGTACTATAATCATAGATAATAAAGAATATTATCTATGACTATAATAGGACGATTATCTATGAACTGTACCAGTTTCACCTTGGTGCAATAGTGTGGTAACGTGGACCGATAAGATCGGTTTATAAACATGGCAATTTATGTTTATAAAATATTATTATATAATATTTATGGTTTATTATGTGCTATGCTTTAAGTAATTACGAATACCGTGGTAAGTGAAGTAACTCCTTGGTCTCGTGATAGTGTACTGTTAAATTTGTTATCAAAATATTACATTCAACATTGCATAATGAAAATATTATTATGTATATAATTTTTTTTAGCATTTATAATACACTATTTTTTTAAAAAAATCCAAAAAACCTTTTATGATGTGCTAAAGTACTTGGTGCAGTTATAACATAAATCTGCACTGAATCAATTAATTTCATTTTTAATTACATTTTCATTCATTTCTGAAATGTTTTACTATCAAATCATATTTTATCAGATTAAAAAGTTTTCTTAATTTCTAAGGTGTAAAAATTATATAAAATTATCTAGTTACAAAAAATAAGTAAGTATTTGTAATGGCTGAGACACATGTATAATTAAATGTATTTAACAATTATTGTATTTAAACTTATGATGCATCATACATATTTCATATGATAATAAGTCTCAAGGACTCATTGTTTTTCTATCGCTTGTTAAATTCTTAAATGTAAATATTGCAATTTTATTTTTAATGGTTTCATCTTTCATTATGGTTTACCATTCAGTTATGATAATATTAAAATGTTTTATTTGGAGTACTTATTTCCTTATATATTTACCTTATTTATTTATTTATTTTTTTTATAATTTTATTAAGGCTTCGACATCAAATTTCTTTAGCCTGCATTTAATTAATATAAATAAATGAACATTATAATTATTACAAGTATTTGCATGTGTTTACAATTTATGACTTACGTTTACACTATGGAAGAATACATTGATTGCGTCTGTATTGTCTTCATTGAGTGCTTGATGGAGTGAGGTGGGGTTTTTGAGGATCTTGCGAGCTTCCGTGTATTTGGTGCAATTAAAGATGATATGTTCTAGTGTTAGTGTCGCATACTGGGGCTGGTTCTTTTCTTATGAGATAAGCATGAGTTAAATGTGAGTGGCCTATTTTAGCTCGAGTAATATTTACTTCAWCTCTTCGTTTRGTGTTGGGAGGATATTTTAATTTTTTAATAGATAATTTTACGTTTCTCMGTTTGTTAGAGAGGTATAGGTTAGACCAGAATTTTTGCCATTCTTCCATTAATTTATGATGTATAATGTTGAAATTTTTGGATGAGGTTAGTGTGTTTATCTTTGTGGAGGAAGGAGATGTGGTGGCTTCATAGGCTATAGTCAGCTTTCTCATTTCCGGGCATCCCAATGTGAGAGGGGACCCACATGAAGCTTGTTGGTCTATTTATTTCAGATATTAGTTTCTGGGTATGTTGGACGAGCTCGTTTTTTGAATAGGGGTTTGATATTGATGAGAGGGCGCTCAGAGACTTTTGCATTTTTTTTCCTTTTATTCTGTACAATGCTATCCTAGCTAAAAATTTGTTTCATGCTCCCTTGATGCAGAAAATTCTAATTTTATTTTGCATTTTTAGCTATAAATGCATTTTTTTTGTTTTT